TTGTCTCTAGCTACCTGACAATGTCCCCTCTCTCCCCTCCCATCCCTGGTAACCCACAAAGAAAGTTTCCTTCCATATATAAAACTTTCCCTGACTTTTTACAATTGTGAACTAATACAATATTAGTCCTTCTGTGATTATTTACTCATCATAATGTCTTCCAAGTTCATCCATGTTATGTGGTGTTTTGCAGAGTCTACATTATTCTTTAGCGTTGCACAGTATTCCACTGTGTGTATGTACTATAATTTGGTTATTCATTCTTCTGTTGATGGGCACTTAGGTTGTTTCCATCTCTTTACTATTGTGAATAGTGATGCAATGAACATGGGTGTGCACATACCTCAGAACAGCTTTTATTACTTTTTTGTGTGCTTTGGGTGTAAATTTACAAAACAATTTTGATTTACATTCAACAGTTCATGCACATTTGATTTCACAGCCCCAATTACCATCCTCAGCCATAAAAAACTCTCCCTTCCTCCCCTCCCTGTGAATACCCCCTCTCTGTGCCCTTCTTAACTATGCATTTCAGTCTGTCCAGCTTTCCCTGTATGTGAATGTTGCCCCTCTGGTGTCACATGGCTGATTGATCTAAGGGGTGCATTTCCCTAGAGTAGGTGAGTACATTGCCCTGGAGTAGGTGTTCTGCATGTAGGTCTTTCCACTGTTGGGCTGAGAGCCAATTCATAGAAGTGAGTCAATTTCTAGGCCTGAAGGGTTAGCCAGGGCCGTAGTCTTGGTGGTTCCACCAGTCTCTATCCCACCAGTAATTCTGGTAATTTTTGTCAGAATAGCTTCTTGAGGATTCAGGCTCTCCAGAGTTCCAAAGTTTTAGTGTTGCCAATTATTCCTTTGTTGTACCTTTTGACTCATTCTTTCCACTAACTCTATGACCACTCATTCCATTTAAAATACAGGCTCTTGACTCTGCCTCCTCCTGTGGTACCATCCTCACTCCACACTATTCCTCCTCACCACCAAACCCATGTTGACCCTCATTTAGTGCTTCCATCTCCTTGCTTCACATTCATACTCAGCTCACTGCAGTCTGGCTCCCTTGTGATCTTCATTACTTCTTAAAATGTAACCACTCTTCTTTGGGACCTGGGGCTTCCTACTATGGCCATGTTTTATGACTTTCTTAGTATTCAAATCCTTGACTTGTCTCTTTGAAGTTATCTCCTGGGTCAGCTTCCAATCTGTCACTTGTCCCTTTGTTTTTTCTGAAAGAACTTTCCATGCTATTCTATCTGCATTGAGCATTATTCTTTATCCTTTTAATACTACTCCTCCATGTCTTCATATATCAATTAAATACAGTGGTCACCAAGTGCTTCTCTTTATCATCCTCTGAAGTTCCAATCCAGGTTCTCAACTGACTACAGGCTTGCCTCTTACGAAGCATCTCAAATGTATCATGTCCAAAACAAAATTCAATTTTCTTTCTACTCCCACAGCATGCTCCATTTGTCCCTCTACTCCAACAAATTGCCAGGGAGTTTATTCTGGGGTCATGCTTGTCAAAGTAGAACTGCACGCCACAGGGTTTTCAGTGCCTGAGTTTTTGGAAGTAGATCACCAGGTTTTTCTTCTGATGAGTCTCTGGGTGGAGTTGAACTGCCAACCTTTCAGTTAGCAGCTAAGTGCATTAATCATTTGCACCACTGAGGGACTCCTTCTCCAATCTATGGAAGATTACCTATTCAAAGTTAGAAGCAGTCTTACTAAATACTGATGATACTTTTGAAGTCTTTTGATTCTCATTCTTTTCACAAAGAGTAATGATTAAAATTCCCTAATTGAATTCCCTGCCTCTGCTCTCCTTCAGCTTTTGTGGCAGTTGTCTATCCAAGAGCCAGATCTGATTGTCATTCTCTTGTCCTAGAAGTTTCTTGTTTCAAAGGCAGTGGAGGACAAAGCCCAAATCTGTATTTAAGGCCCCCACTATTAGGATTCTCATCATGTTCCTTTAAAGCCTAATTTCTTACCACTTCACTGACATGCAGGGGTTGGTCCAGCCACACCAAAAAACTACTTTCTAGCCCTGGAATGTGCCATATTTTCTTTTTCAATATAGTTAAGGCCCAGCTCAAAGGTCCTTTGTGAAGCACTTTTACCTTTGGTCCATAGGCAGAATTAATCACTATCTTCTGAACTTCCTTATAGTTCTGATATTTATAGATCTAGTATATATGTAGGAGCTCTGGTAGCATAGTGGCTAAGACACTTGCCTGCTAACCAGACGGCTGGCGGTTCAAACCCACCAGCCACTCCTCGGAAGGAAGGTTGGGCAATCCTACTTCTGTAGTGATACTGCCTCGGAAACCCAAGGAGGGGTCGCTATGAGTCGGGGCCGACTCGATGGCACATAACAACAACATAACAAGTATATATGTACATGTGTTATGTGTATATGTTGTTGTTGTTATGTGCTGTCAGGTCTGACCAACTCATAGCGACCCCTCCTTGGGTTTCCGAGGTAGTAACACTATGGAAGTACATTGCTCAACCTTCCTTCCAAGGAGTGGCTGGTGGGTTTGAACCACCAGCCTTCTGGTTAGCAGTCAAGTGCCTTAGGCACTACACTACCAGAGTATATAGACATATATATTCTTATAGTTCTATTATAGCACACATCCTATTGTGTGTTTTTGTTATTAGTCACTGAGCTTAAAGTCCACAGTATAGTCAGTCAACATGTTATCTTATCCATCTGCTAGTCTACCCTCCATCCATCCATCTTCCACCCATTCATCCACCCAATGGCTAGCAACTGGAGACTACCAGGCCTAATATTCTATGATCTTTGAATATTGCCTTTTTCTTCCAGAGAGACAATAGTGTATGTTCTAGGCCAAATACATAATATAGGCATTCTGAATCACTCATGGCTTGATCACTGTTACATTCCTAGTGCTCAATAAACTCAGTAGGTACTCAATGAATGTGCTGAATGAACACATGAGTTAATTCATAGTAATTGGTAGAAAATTGACTCAGGTTTTACCTGTCAGGTATAAAACCAAATAAACTTTTTCCAAGTCTTTAATATCAACTTCCTTTAACTGTTATAATGATCAGTTACATATAGTTCGTGCAGTGCTCTCTGTACCACCAAGCATTTCCTGGGCAACACAAATACACACACACTGGCATGCTTAGAGCCATGAGGTCTTATCAGCAGCAGGCTAGACATCCTCTAGGAATATAGCCCTGTAGTCTGTAGACAGAAATTGTAACTTTGAGGACCTAGACTGGCATTTGCCTGTCCTAACCAGGAAACACAATGGCAGATCTGGCAGGGTTTTTAAATTTTTAACTTCCAACTTCACCATTCCCTTCCTTATGCAATACCTTCCAGTACTTTTTCCAATTTTAACTTTTCATCTGTTCATGTATATTATTACCCCATTTATAACTACATTCCAATCTCAGAACCAGAAAGCAGATGAGTGATAACTAGGTGAAATGTTCTGCTTGATCAGAGCCAAATTCCCTAAACATTTCAAAATTTTAGTGTTGGAGCAAATTAGATATTAGCCTTGATGTTGTCAATGGTCTTCCCTTTAAATGAATAAAAGTGGCTTAAATGACAATAACTGTGACAATATAAACAGAGTGTTTGGTTTAAAGTCTTTATTATCCTGAATATAAAAGACAGAAGTCCTCTAGGATATAACAGAGTTCTTTATGTGGAAACATTTTTTTACAAGTGAAAAAATAAATACCTCTTGGAATAAAGGCTTATATGCTAATATGTGCCATAAAAAAGTAGAGTTTTAATATCTGACAAAATGTCTGTGCAAAGAAACAAATGCATAAACACATTACTGCTACATTAAGGCAATATGAAAAGTATAATCAGAAATCTCAGTAAAGTGACAGTGTAGGTTTCTAGCTTTAACTTAAGCTAGTATTGCACCTGGTAAGGTCATCTAGGTCTCCCTACATCCTAGAAAACCCCACTAGCTGACCAGAGTCCAAAATGCCCAAGTGGGAGTGGAAAACATGTTTTAAGAATACAGAAAGAAAAAGAACTGAAACCTTCCAAAACACATGGAAGGGACAACCAAAAGTTAATACTTAAGCATTTACAATTATAAAAAAAATGTATACAATGTCTAAGATACTTATGATAAGGCTGTAAAAGGCTTGAGAGTTCAAGCTAAAGCGACACTGATGGGTGAGGCTGGAGTAGATGGAATATAGAGTGCTTGGGAGAACTGAAGAACTACCATAGTTTGTACACCTTGCAGCTTCATCTCCAAGTGAGTGATGGTTTCCCTTCCCAAGGAAAATACTCTCCTATTTCAATGTTAAAGTAAGGTATTCCACCAAGCCAAGAGACCCAAGGAGTGCTTGACTACTCCACAGAAATCTCGTAACCAAATTGGTAGCATTTTGTAATTGAAAGGTTGGCAGGGGAGTGAGGAGCACTGGAAGGGCCTAGGAAACCACCCACCCTGAGTTACCTGTCGTCCATTAGGCAGACTGATTTAAATCTGGCAACTCTGTTGTCAACCTTGTAAAAGTCACTGAGTTGGTTTTTAAATCTGTGTACCTTCTAATCATTCTTGAACAAGTTGTAAAAACAGAAATGACATTGAAACAAGGACTATTTCTTTAAAAAAAAATGTTCCTATTAAAAATGTTTGGAGCTCCATAACCATACAAAAAGAACCTAGTAAAATCTTAAAACTAGTTCTTACAAAACTTGCTGCAGGTAGGAAACTTACCTCAGGATACCTTAGGCAGATTTACAACATAACTTCCTTATAGGTACTCACTTTTTGGCTATGTCGCCACTTAGCTGACATCAGAAGAGATTTTGCGTATTCTTTTACTTGATCATTAAAAAAAAAAAAAGCAAGTCCTAGGAATGTGTCTGTGTCCCAGAGCGCTTCCTGGTCACCACCACGGGAGCTGTTTGTTGCTTCTATGCATGGGTATGTTTTTGCAGTGAAGAGCAGCTGTATTCTTTTTTCTTCCTATTTTAAAACTTCACATGGCAAATGGGTGTTGGAATAATTCTCTTCTTCACAATCTATTATTTTTATAGTTCATAACAGTGTAGTTCATGGCAACGTGGTATGTCAAATAAATGCACAAAAGATCAGATCACAGTTAGATTGAGAAGACTGGTGTGGGTTGGAAGGTAGACGTGCTGAACGTGTTCCACACGCGATCTGCAGACTGGACAGGACTGAAAAAGAGAAGCCACAGTATGTGTTAGAATACCTTTATGGACCTGTGTCTTCAGTCTTCTCCTTTGGCCCATAGATTATATTTTTTAAGTAGGTGCTGCAAACAATTAATTCTAGACTTTACCTCTGGTGGCGTAGTGGTTAAAGCATTGGGCTACTAACCAAAAGGTCTGTGGTTCAAACTAACCAGCTGCTCTGTGGGAGAAAGATGAGGCAGTTCTACTCTGTCCTATGGGGTCACAATGAGTTGGAATTGACTCGATGGTGGTGGGTTTCATTTTCAATTGGCAGAGGTCTTTGTTTTCTAACAGGTTTTAAAGTTAACAGTTTAAAAGGAATTGAGAACAAAGATTACAAAGACCAAAAAGTATAAACTGAATAAAATTAGTCAGATTTTCAGTCAAACTCTAACCAAGGCAGAGTTGAGTAAAGCAATTACTAGAGACATCTTTCTTTGCAGGCTGTGGTCCTTATATTCCTTAGGCAGTAAACAAGAAACCCTCCCAGGGAGACTGTGTGTTTTTGGCTCATTTATTACCATTATTACTGGCCTGAGAACAGCCAGCGAGCATGGCTATGTTCCGAGTCACACGTAACAGCTCTACATTACTGGCTGACTTTTCAGCAATCACATGCCCTTTGTCAGACATAAGGGTAGCCTTACCCACAAGATTACAAATGTGGCGTGAGAAGGATAAATCCATGACTGCTCTGAGGAAATAATTCATCAGAGCAAAATAATCTATTCTTAGGAAGGACACAGACATCCTGTTGGGCCATTGTACAGCCCAAAGATTACTTACTTCTGAATTTAGTAGCTTCTAAAGGCACAGATGTTACTTATGGCTGGTTTTACATAAAACAAGTGACATTTAGCAAACACTTCAAACTGAAAAAATTACTGTAAACATGTTCCACATGTGATCTGCAGACTGGATAGGACTGAAAAAGAGAAGCCACAGTTAAGTGTTAGAACACCTTTATGAACCTGTGTCTTCAGTCTTCTCCTTCGGGCACTGCCTTAGAGTCAATTCCAACTCATTGTGACCCCATAAGACAGAACAGAACTGCCCTATAGGGTTTCTGCCTCAGCTTTCTCCTTCAGAGTCGCTGGTAGGTTTGAACTGCTGACCTTTTGATTAGCAGGTGAATGCCTTAACCAGAGACAACCAGAGCTCCTTATGTAAGGTATAAGAAAGGAAAAATTCCTATAGAGGAGTTGCTTTTGTTTATTTATTTTTCTACGTAGCTAACATCAAAATTATTCTGACTTGCCAATCCAAGAAACACTAGAGGCATATGCAGTAATAACAAAAGAGTCGTAAATAATCAGAGAAAACTTACCCATGGATAACTGGGAGTTAACTGTTGTTGTTGTTGTTGTTATGGGCTGTCGAGTCGGACCCGACTCATAGCAATCCCTCCTTGGGTTTCGGAGGCAGTATCACTACAGAAGTAGATTGCCCCATCTTCCTTCTGAGGAGTGGCTGGTGGGTTTGAACCGCCATCCTTCAGGTTAGCAGTCAAGTACCTTAGGCACTATACTACCAGAGCTCCTAGGGAGTTAACTATAGCCCCAAATCTAAGTATTCTTTCCCAAATATTTTAAATAAATAATAAAGACCATCCTCCAATGTGTCAGGACATAGGATACAACATGAAATGGAAGAAGACACCCTGGACCAGGCCTCAGGAGACCTGGATTCTGGACTTTGGTTCAGCCACTAACTAGATGTGTTATATTGTTCCCTCCTCTGTCTAGTGACATCTTCCAGATCTTGAAACAAGTCAGATTCAGAGTAATTCCACTGATGAAACCAGTAGGCTGATCCACAATGTTTCCAAGGACAATGCCTTTTAAGTCATCAAATACAAAGGGCAGTACCAGGTGAAGATGAAGTCTACTCATTTGTGTGTGAGTTAGCCTCGTCCCTGGCACACATAGGTGCTCATTCACTGAGTGAATGAATGGCCCAGCCACCCACGCCCACTAACCTGTAGCTGCGCGGCGCAGCTCTCACAGCACACAGTGTGGCCACAGGGGCAGAAGGTGGAGTTGATCTCCTCCTCGCAGCACACCATGCAAAGCATGGCCTCCTTCAGCTTGCGCAGCTTCTCCTGTAGCGCGCGGGTCTGCTGGCAGCTGAGGCCCTCGCAGCTGCTGCAGTTCATGCTGCTTTCTGAGGACTTCAGCGGGGAGTTTGGGGGGCTGTGGTTGCTCCTTGAAACCAGGTCCACAACACCAGCATTATAGAGAGCCCTCCGGGCATGGTCATAGACCTCTTTTGATGTTCTTTTGATATCAAAGACATACTTCTTGCCAAGGTTAATATTTTCATTCAGAAACAATGATGCCAAGTGGCCCTTTAGGTCTCGGCTATACTGCATCATGACGGCACTAGTCACCGTGTCACACCTGTGGAGGGAGAGGAGACATCCGTCTCAGTGCAAAAAAGCTCAGGTGTTTCCGTAATTAGACCCGAAAACACCGTGGTAAAAAGAATATTTGTGTTAGCAGATGTTTAATATTCTTGTCTGCATGCTTGAAAGGAAGTCCTTCCAGTTTTATATGTGTTAAATATTTCAGTGACTCTACCTTAATGGTTCTCAAGTGTTTCCAAAGTACCTCCTCCAATAAAGCAACAGTGAAAGGGTGTCTCCCTCTCCAGGGATATGAGGTATGGCCTAAAGGAAATTTTTCTTTGAAGTCTAGTCTTTTATCTTAAAAATTTCTGTAAGTTTTCCATTCTGCTCCACGATGTGTGTCTGCTTTAAAATGAAAATGTTTAAGACTGCCTACCAATTACATTTCTTAGCTTTCGTTTTCCAAATATTTGAGTCCAATCACAACTCCACTTCAAAGGGCCCTTGCCTGAAATGAGGGTATCCATGTTGTTATTAAAAAAAACCTTGACTACTCAGGGTTAGGATTCAAGAAGGTAGTTCTTACAGAGAGGATCGATGGCCAATGTCATCCTCCTGTTGGAAGAGGCGAAAGCAGCAGAGGAACAGGCCCAGTCACCCAGGGTTATCTCCGAGAGAGGAGGTGGTGTAAGGAAATAAGGCAGGAGATAAGCATGGAAACTGTCTATGGAGTTTACACATAGGCATTTTCTGTGGACAGCAGGGATGCATCGATAAGGTCTCCACTAATGAATCAAATGTCCCAAAGCAGCTGAGTTCTTAACTTCTGCGATAGGCTCATGGATATAAGGATAAAAGAAAAGGTATGAACCATGCTGTCACCTAGAAATCTTACATCTGCTGGTGCTCAGGATCAAAAGCAACAGGGCACGTACCTGTAGAAGGCATGCGTCTCAGTGACAGCTCGGTAGAGCCCACTGGCTGCCCTGGTGCTGATCATCTTAAATAACAGCACGATGCTGTTCCCTGACTCCTTGGTGACCGTCAAGTAAACATTCTTTCCTGACTGGGTGGCCATCTGCACCACAGGGTATGCAATCCTAAAAGGAAGGAAGAGAAAGTGAATGTGTCTGAAAAGAGGGATTTACCAGAGCTGGGGTGTCATTTTAGGCTCCTCATTTGCTCATGACCCAACAGTAAAAACAGATACTTCGTCTGGGACTACCAGATGACCACTCTGCTCCTTAGATAATAACCAGAACCAGGTGCTGTTGAGTTGACCCCGACTCAGGCGACCCTATGTGTGTCAAAAGAGAACTGTGTGCCATTGTTTTCAGTGGCTGATTTTTTTGGAAGTAGACTGCCAGGTCATTCTTCCAAGTGCTTCTGGGTGGACTCGAACAATCAACCTTTCAGTTAACTGTCCTCTCTGTCCACTCTGAGTTAGCATTTTTAAAAATAATCAAATGGTCATCAAGACCTGAAAAAAATTACTATATATATAAAAGTGAAACATTTTCTTCCTAAGGGATGACTGTCTAGTAAATCCCTCTCCACTTTCTATTGTCACGACCAAAAAAATAAAAACAAACTCAATGCTGTCGAGTCAGATCCAACTCATAACGACCCCTCCTTGGGTTTCCAAGGCAGTATCTCTATGGAAGTAGATTGCCCAACCTTCCTTCCGAGTGGCGGCTAGTGGGTTTGAACCACCAGCCTTCTGGTTAGCAGTCAAATGCCTTAGGCACCACACTACCAGAGCTCCTTTGTCACGACCAAAGCTATAAAATTATACAAATGATAGAATAAAAAAAAAAAATTGAAGGCTTGGGTTACCTATTAATTGGGCTGAAGTCATCTTTGCAGATGGAGATTCCTTCAGGTCCAACACCAATGAGGAGTCTCTGTCCTTCGCTGTCCCTCACAGAATGCCACTCTACACCATAGTTCTCCATGGCTGATACAATCTGCAAAACCTGGTATTCTGCAGAAGCCTGGCTGGTCCCCTCCAACTCCTTATGCTTAGCAATAATACTGCAGGACATCACACAGAGAGATTAGCTTGTGAAACTGAGAAAAATCTTTGGTTTTAGGAAAATTATACATAATTTTCACTACAAATTATACTGACACAGTCCCCTATGAATCACAAAAACTGAGAACTGTATAACCTACTCCTCACTTATCAACTATCTCATTATCTGACATATTATATTTATGATAATAGTAAAAAAATCTATCCAACTATTTTGTGCACTGACGATGTACATCTGGTAGTAATGAATGCCGAGGTATGAGGCGAGAATAATAATGGCTGTGATGGTTAAAGTAATGTATCAGTGTGGCTGGCTATGATTCTCAGTGGCCTGGCAATTAAGTAATGATATAATTTGGCAGTTAAGTAATGATGCAATCTGGCAGTTATCTGATGATGTCATCATCTTCCATCTTTGTGATCTGATGTGATCATCCTCCATTTTTCACATAGTGTTCAATTTTCATATAACAACATGGTCTTTGGAACCTAATCATGTTGGTAAGTGAGGACTGGGTGTATAATAGATGTTTCATTTATTGAGCAAATGACTATAAAGTAATTCTAAGACACTGGCTCAAGGTCTCAACTATTAAATATTTAGTAGAAAAAAACTTTTGGGCATGTTGGATAGGAATGAATTGGAAGAATTATGGAAAATATTAAATATATATATATAAGACATTTATATATTGGAACTTCTCATGCATTCTTCTATGTATACTTTATTCACTTCATTATAATATAGCATCATAAGGGATTTGATAGTTTGTAACAAAAAAGCAAACAGGATTCATTTTGTTATCCATTATGATGGAAAGCCTCTAAAACGATCTTCAATAATCCCTACCACCTGATATTTGTGCTCTTGTGTACACTCATTCCTCACTTATTGACATGGTTAGATTCCAAAGACCAGTTGTGTGAAAACTGGTGTTGTGTAAAAAATAGAGGATGACCACATCAGATCACAAAATGCAGGATGATTACATAATTAGACATGGTGAGATTCCAAAGACCAGTTGTTGTGTGAAAACTGGTGTTGTGCAAAAAATGGAGGATGACCACATCAGATCACAAAATGGAAGATGACTACATCATTATCTGCCAAATTACACCATTACATAACTGCCAAACCACTGAAAATCATGGAGCAGTCAAGCAGACAAATAACCATCACTGGCAACATTACTCTCACCTTGCACCTTGGCATTCATGACTGCCAGAAGATGTATGTCATTAATGTGCAAAATAGTTAGATCATAGATTATTTTTACTATTTTTGTAAATGGATAACAAGATCATCAATAAATGAGAAGTAGGTTTTTCTTCCATTGAGTGTAGGCTGGACTTATTGACTGGCATTTAATGAACAGAGTATGGCCGAAATGATGGGCTGTCACTTCTGAGATGAGGTATGAAGACTGTGACATGTGTCTTGCTTTGACTTGGACCATTTGCCTTCTGGGATGCCAGCTTTCATGCCATAAAATAGCCATATGGAGAGGCGAATGAGGTGAGGAAACAAGATTGCCAGTAAACCACATGAGTGAACCAAGAAGCGGATCTCTCCTTTAGTGAGTCTTCAACTTGAGACTGAAGTCCACCAACAGTGTGGCTACAGCCTCACAAGAGATACTGAGCTAAACACAAGATTGTGAGAGATTCCTGACCTACGGAGCTGAGAGATATTAGTTATTTTAAGTCGCTTTTGGGCAATTAGTTATGCAGGAATAGTTAACTAATACACCTAGGTTCACTTTCTTGGTTTAATTCTTGCTGATAAAATGAAAGTATACCAACCTACGTGATAGACTTTACTTTAGGAGATTTGAGTTTTTAAAAGACCAGACTTTTTTTTTTTTTTAATTCTGGTTATGTAGTACTTAATAGAAGGGCATTTGTTTGTGTGGATTATGTCTTCTGTTTCTAAGTTTCTTGAAATAATAGACTAAAGAAGCTTTTGAAAATAATTGGTAAAATGGGGCAGTGGCCTAGTCTGGACCTCACAAATTATCTGTATTATACCATAGATTCATTTTCTTCTGGAAGTTCTTATAAACTTGAGAGTATATCCATGGGTATAAACGCTAGCCCTAAACCACAGCCTCACCTGTTCAAGGCAGCGCTGGAGAGCTCCTTGGCACACAGTTCCTCATAGTTGTATTTGGCAGTGTTCTGGTTGTAGTCTCCAAACTTGGTCTGGGCGAGGAGGGCATTGAGTTCCACGGCCTGCTCTGGGGAACATTGGAGGTGGCCAGCCAAGAGGGACTCTTTGATGTGCAAGAAAAAGATGTGCCTGCAACACAATGAGAGGATGAGGTTAGGATGGGGGACTGAGTTTTGATCTCAAACTCAACCTGCTGAGCAACTACATGATCACTTTTAAATGGAGAAAACAGAGCAATTTTAAAAGTTACTGTGAAAATGTCATCTATTAGAGAACTTTTTTAAACATGAGAATTAAGGCAAAACAAGTTATCTGGAATAAAAATGACAAACTTCAATGTTCGATCTAAACAAGATAAATGGATTCTATTTACTCAAGCTGTCTTAAAACAAAACAAATTTAATTAAGAGAAGTTCAGTAAAATCTAAGTTATAGATAGTAAAATAATTATACACAAGTTTTGGCATTATTAATTTTTTTAAATAAATTATCTCAATCAGAAAAAAAAAACAAAAACTGTCATCTTGACATGGATTCTGAAATAATCTTAAGGAATTATATAAAGAAGACAAGAGCCTCACTTTTATTCAAATGACCCCCAAATCTCCAGTTTTAGCCCCACTTTCCTCCCAAGAATCATATTCAAATGCCCAAAGCCCACATAGGTCTCCACTTGGATGTGCCTCGGGTGCCTTGTTTCAAACCAAACTCATTCTCTTCCTTTCCCAAACCCACTTTTTTTCCCAGTGGAAATCACAGATTCATTTTTGCTTTTCTCCTCACAGACTCACTTCTGACTCTTAACCCTATTTCCACCTACTTTTTGTCTCTGAAAAGTCTAAACCTCATTCCATTCTTACCATTTTTACCTCCTCTGTCCTACGTGCAACTCTCAGTTGTCAAAGAACTGACAGTAGCTTCTGAATGGATCGCTCTTCCTCTGGACTTTATGCTAATCCACCTTCCAGGCTGCTTGCTTCCAGCATAAACTTGTCATGTCCCTGCTCAAAAATCCTTCAAGGGGTCTTAACGTTGTTAGCATGAAATCCACCAAGGTTCTCCATGCTTGAGCCCTATCTGTCCAGCCTCATCCTCAGCCATTCCCCTCCAGCCACTATGCCACAGTAACAATTCCTCTTCCTGGGAAAAACCAAGCCCGTCCATGCCTCTGTGTCTCTGGCCTTGCTGGTCCCTCTGCCTGAAGGCCACTTATTCTTTCCCTTCACTTAGATTCCCTGCCTTTTCCAGAGCTAACCCTTTTCATCTGTATCACATATGAATGATTTATTCCTATATTACAGTATTTGACAGGATTCCTGGGTAGTACAAATCATTAACACATTTGGCTGCTAAACTAAAGGTTAGAAGTTTGAGTCTACCCAGAGATGCCTTGGAAGAAAGGCCTTGTGACCTACTTCAGAAAAGTCAGCCATTGAAAACCCTGTGAAGCACAGTTCTGCTTTGACACACATGGGGTTGCCGTGAGTAAAGGGTTGACTTAATGGCAACTGGTATGGTATTTGACATATTCTGACTTCTGTAATCTACATTTAAAAAGCTCTTGTGGTGTAGTGGGTAATGCATTCAGCTGCTAACCAAAAAGTCAGTGGTTTGAACCCACCACCCACTCTACGGGATAAAGAAAAGGGGCAGTCCGCTTCTGTAAAGACTTACAGCTTTGGAAACCCTATGGGGCCCGTTCTACTCTGTCCTATAGGGATGCTATGAGTGCAAATCGACTCAACAGCAATGGTTTTAATCTACATGTCACTTAGAAACTCTAGGGAGTACAAGATATCACTGTCTGCCAACCTATATTGTCAAATACCTGAGGAAGGCATCTAAACCTCCACAGCCAGATGGGCCTGGGTTATAAAATTTGACTCTGACAAAAGTGAATGCAGAACTTTTTTTGATAAGTTGTCTTAGTATCTGAAACATGCTTAAACATCACCATATTCCTTCCATTAATAATGAATTACCATCATTAGTAACTCTCTGAAACTCCAAGAATGCTACATAAGTTCAATTCCCCACTTCAACCAAGCCTGACATCCTTATTTCAGTCTCCAACACTGCTTTCACTGATATACTAATGTTCGAGGTTAGCGGGGCTAACACGAGATGGTTAAGAAAAGGGAAGAAGGAGAAAATGAAGGTAGAAATGTAAGGAGGGGCTATAGTGAGAGTCTCAAAACATCAGGTGGACCTTCCTTTAACTAAGAAATATCTGGATTAAATTCAGTGTTCTCTGCCTTCTGTAGGAGCTTTGGTGGCGTAGGGTCTAAAACACTTGACTGCTAACCAGAAGGCTGACAGTTCAAACGCACCAGCTACTCCTCAGAAGGAAGACTGGCCAATCTACTTCCACTATAATTTTTTCCCTGCCTTCTATCATCCTGAATATCTGATTATCAAATACTGCCAAATATGACTTTTTTTTCCTTTATTCAAAATTCCTATATAAAAATTACAGTCAGAATACACAATAGCACTGAAAGAAGATAAACATGTTTTTTATTAACCCAAACATCTGCTAGTCTTTAAAGTATTTCTGACATACTGCTAAAATGACAAGGGGCCCCCCACTGGGGCAAAGAAATAATCACAAAATAATGTGTTTAAAAATAGCTATCTGGGAGGCGGGGCAAGATGGCGGACTAGGCAGAAGGATTGCACAGACCCTCTTCAACAAAGAAAAGGGAAACCAATTAACACAGACACAGAAGATAATCT